TATTTTCACTGTATATAGTCAGGGCTACCCCCACATGCCTCTGGAGTACCTCCTAAATTTGGCAGAGAGGGAAAAGGACTTGGCCTACCCCTCCCCTCCCCCCCCACCCCCAGCTTGTCTGTCTGTATCATTTTGGTAAATGTAGCAGTCTTGACCTAGAGCCAATGTTCCAGAAGACCTGGCTCCTACTTCCACTCAGCCTCTTATTTGTGTGTAACTGTGGGCCAGAGAAAGCAAGAGCTTTATCTCCTTCCTCCTTCAAGTCAAGATAATACACACAGAACTGGGGGGCCGTGCAAAGAAAATGCCAGTTGTGGAAGTTGCTTGGCAAGTCCATAGCAGCAGAGGTTGAGACATTTGCGGCCGATGGCAGCAATAGACCTTGGGGAGAAGTCAGGGCCGTGGTCAAGTTTGTCAGAACCGGGAGAGTTGGCAGGGTGGCATGTGGGCAGGGGCGTTGGGCAGCAGCCTCACCAGCCATGTGTTCCAGTTCTTTCCGTGCACCCACCTCTTGTGAGGGGCCAGCCTCGCTGTGGTGGGCACACCCTCTCCGCTCTCAAGTGAGGCTGGGCTCTGATGGTGCTCGCATTCCTTCTGAAGCTCACCCGCTCGCCCTCCCATCTTTGAGCATAGAAGTCCGATCTCCTTGTACTCTGTATTTTCCATTTCTCTAACAACATTGTCCATCTTTGATAGGCTTCCCCCCCCATTAGATATAAAACTACCAACTTTCAGGCCCCACTGCTACTTTTTTTCAGGTTTAATCAGCCTTTTTTTTCCCTCCTGAAACTAAGCCATCCATTTGATCCTGTCTTTCTAATAAAATTGCTCAAAATTTACGAAATTGCAGTTTCATTGGTTTTATATCCTTTTTTATTACTGACCTAAAGTTTTTATACATTTAATGTATATTTTCAAGCATTTTGACTAGCAAGTAATCTTAAATAGAGACTGATTTGCTGGTTTGCTATCGCCCTTTGTTTAGGCAAAATTTTAATTAACTGTTTTGAGAAGAATGATGTATCCACATTGCTTGAAATCCAAGCTATATCAAAGGGTATGCGAGAAAAGTCTCCCTCCTGCTCCTCTTTTCTTACCCTTGGAGGAAACCCGTGTTGCCACTTCTTGGGTAGATTTCCAGAGACACAGTGTGCCTCTATCTGCACAAGTTACAAGTTGTATCCACCTACACCTACACATGCCCCCTTTGTTGAACAGAGTATTTGCTTCCTATACTCACTGTGCTACAACTTGCTTTATCTCATAATGTCTTATTCTGTAGCAGTCAACTTACAGAGAGCTTCTTCCTTTTTTCTGGTTGCCTAGTATTCCATTATGAATAAATAAATTATGTAATTTATTTCATCAGTTCCCATTCAGTGGACTTTGATTTAGCTTGTTTCCAGTCTTTTGCTAATACATATAATGCCACAGTGAACAACTTTGTACCTATGTGATTTTTGTGTAAATTAGGGTATATCTGTGGGGTAAATTCCCATTTGTGGAATTGCTGAGTCACAGGGTATATGCATTCATAAAGTTAATATGTTGCCAAATTGCCCTGCATTAAGGTGGTTTCAATTTATACTGCCCCTGGCAATGTGAGAGACTACCTCTTTGCAGTTTTCTTCATATCCTTTCCAGTTCAGTCATTAAATGTTTACCTTTGTCATAGGTACATTAAGAAATGGTCTCTCAGCGTTGTTTTAATTTGTCTCTCTTACCACGAGTGAGAGTAAGCATCTTTTGACTTGCCTGAGAGCCACTGGATTTCCTGCTCTTGAACTGTCTCTTCATATCCTTTGCCCATTTTTTGTTTTTTTCTTTGTCCTTTTGTTCTGTTTTTTTTTCCCTTGTCCGTTTTGTTGGTCTTTCTGTTAATTGGTTTTGCGAGAGTGCTATGTGTATTAGGGAAGTTAATTAACTCTTTGCCTTGATCTAAGTTCCAAGTTTATCACTTGTCCTTTACTGATTTCTTTGTCGTGCAGATTAACCAGTTTTTTTTCCTTTGTGATTTCTGGGTTGTGTCATACTGTAGAAAGGTCTTCCCTACTCTGGAATTGGTGTGTTTTGTTTTTAGTTTTTTAATTCATCCATTGTTTCTTCCAGAGCTTTTTTGGGTTTTTGTTTTCTGTTTTGGGGGTTTTGGTTTTGTTTTTGTTTTGTTTGTTTTGTTTACTTCTTCGAATCATCCAGAATATATTTTAGTAAAAAGTATGAGTTACAGTATCAACCTTCTTTTCCCAGGCAACAGTTAATTTATTTCAGCCTTGCTTTTATTATATTTGTAATTTACAGATATGTGCCCTGTCAAACTCTCTTATACCAGCCCTGTGCATCTAACATGAGTCAGATTTAGGATGACATAATTTTTTTAGGAGGCAGCTTGGCATAGAGAAAGCTCATCATCTTCAGAGTCTAACAGACCTGGTTTCAAATGGGAACTCTGCAACTTCTTACAGTTACAGGCTTGGGCAAATTAGAATTACGTAACCTTTCTGAGCCTTTGTTACCTCATTTGTAAAATATGATTGATAGTACCACATTTCACAGATGGGTTGTGACAATTAGAGATGATGTTTCGAAATTGCTTGTCCAGCGCCTGGTGCACAGTAAACACTTGATAAAGGGGTGCTGTTATTATTGTCATTATTGTTACCGATATCGGTAGTGTGATATTGGCCTGAATGAGGACGTTGTGTCCCCCCAGTCCCTGTGTGTAGCCATTCTTCAATAAAAGCTCATCTTGGAAATTGGATATAGGGCTTCCCTAAGCCAAAGGCCATGGCAAGTACCCTAGTAAATGATTGGGCTAGCATTTTTAGGGCCATCCGTGTTCATAACTTCTGGGCAGATGTTAAATTGTTGGGGTGTACATTAAAATATGATTGCACTTTGCTGCAAGAGGAAGTCCGTCTGATTGGGTAGTTTGGTTTTATAAGCAGATCTGTGAAGTTAACAGTGAAGCATTGTTTGTCCAGCATTAGTGTTAGTGCTGTTGGGCCAGATGATGATTTAAGGAATGGGATCTGTATGATTTCTTACCTCGGAATCTTATGTTCAGTCCTGTTATAAATCTGGAAATCATTTAATAGGGTGCAGAAAGTTAGCATGAACAGAAGTTGGTATCTAAATTAACTTCTCTTTTGAAGCCCAATACCCCAGGACCTAGTCTTTAAGTCTTTAATTGGGTAACTGATTACTATTTCATTCCACACCTCTTCATGTATTCTGATGTTCTAGATTTTTTTTATATGTTAACTTGATTTTCCTGTAAGGTTTTCTTTTTTTTACCTCTTTTCTTTTCCTTCAGTAATGTTTAATCTTAACTTAATATCTGTCTTTTGAAAGCTCTTTCACTGCAGTCCTTGCACAGATAAACCCAACTTTCAAAAATCACTTTTAAATTTATTGCTACTAGTCTCATTATGTCTAAATATCTTCTTCCGTCCTGTTCTCCTCTTTTCTCTCTACTCATCCTGCACATTTTTAAACTGAAACGCTGGACTTCCCTCTCTCGAGCTTCTTAATACTTATCAATAATTCAGAAAATCTTACTGTGTGAGACTTCTGTTTTCCCTCCTTTGTTTGATTCTCTTGAGCCCCAAGTATGCTACTAGACTTCCCTTTTTTTTTTTTTTTAAGATTTTATTAATTTATACGACAGAGAAGGAGAGAGAGCACAAGTAGGCAGAGCGGCAGGCAGAGGGAGAAGGAGAAGCAGGCTCTCTGCTGAGCAGGGAGCCTGATGCGGGACTCGATCCCAGGACCCTGAGATCATGACCTGAGCCGAAGGCAGACACTTAACCAACTGAGCCACCCAGGCACCCTCCTCCCCCTCCTTTTTTTTTTTAGTATAAACTGTCAACCTAATTTTTCTCTGCCATCAATGTTAAGAAAATTTCCATTTGGGAAATTTTACATGGTTTTATACAATAGATTTTCTTCCTAATCAGTAATCAGTCCACAAATACCCATTGAGGTCTTATTGTGTGCCAGCATTTGAGGATACAATGAGTGAATAATGCCCTGCCTTCAGGAGTTTACTTTCTATATACTCTTTTGTTTTGTTTTGGCAGGGCAGGGGAGGGGGGGCAGAAGAAGGAGTAGAGAGAGAATCCTAAGCAAGCCCCATGCCCAGCACGGAGCCTGATGTGGGGCTTGATCTCACGACCCTGGGATCATGACCTGAGCTGAAATCAAGAGTCGGACACTTAACTAACTGAGCCACCCAGGTGCCCGAGGAGTTTACTTTCTATATTGAAGACAGACAACATACCAACTAACAAATGGAATCATTTCAGTTACTAGGGTTATGGGAGAGATAAATACAGCAATAGAATAGAAATGACCAGGCACAGAGGGAGGAAACTCATCCCCTTTCTTTATAGGGCTTTTGCTTCTGGTCTGACCGTAAATCTTGTATTCCGTTTTCTCATGATTTTTCTTTTAATAATGTTTTCTGGTGCTTTCTTATTACCCAACATTTTGCCCTTTTCTTTCATCTCTTAGATGACCAACTGCCCATTTTTAAGAATTGATAATCTCATTGCATTGTGCTCTTCTTCATTATAATCTTATGCTTCCTTTTTGACTTCAAAAGATTTCTTTGCCACAGTGTACATCATAAAGGTCATCTTTAGTGATTATTGAAATCAAAAGGCATTTCTCCAAAATAAACCTTACCTTTTGACATCCTGGGTGTTTTTGTTTTTTTTTTTTTTTTAATTTATAAAGAAGAGTGATTCTCAGATGTTTGTCTCAGTGAAACGTGTGTCGGTATGTAGGGTTGCCAACTGCATTTCTTGTAAGACTGGGCTTTAGTATAAGATTGTGTTATTTTAGGAAAGGACAGTGAGGAGTAAGTAGCATGTGTAAAGACTTTGCTTGCAAAATGAAGTTAACAGTCCCCGGTATTTAGAACCTGCAGCTCTTACGCCTTCTGGATTGACTGTTTAGGTCTGAAAATGAATACTCCTTGTTTTCTTTCCTGTTTTCAGGGATGACTCTGTCCCAGAGGACAACATCTGGAGGGGCATCCTCTCTGTCATTTTCTTCTTCCTTATCATCAGCGTGTTAGCTTTTCCCAACGGTAAGTGACGTCATGCCTTACCACATTCCTCCTGTGCATTGTGCCCTTTGGGTGTTTTGGGGGAGGTATGCCATCTAGAAGATGAAACCAGAAAATGGGAATAAAAACCTAACCTGTGGGGGTTAGGGCGCAGGCTCTGGAGGCAAACTGCCCATTCCGCCGCTGGCTAGCCTCGTGGCCCTGGGGAGGTCCCCCCGCTTCTTCCCAAGTGCTTGAGTCTCTCTCTTCTGTAAATGGAGATTGTCAGGTAGGTACTGTTCAAAGAGTTAACTAAATTAATACATGTTAAATTCTCTGAATAGTGACTGACAAATTGTAAGCTCTCGGTAAGTGTCAGCTGTTCCTGTTGCTATTTTTGCGATATCAGCTGAGTCATAAAATACTCAAGTATTATTTAGTCCTTTTTGCTAAGGACAGGGTCAATGCTGTAATGAATATTACTTAAATAATGTGTTGTCCCAGGTGATCTTTAATCGCAGTAAATTTTGCTGATCATGCATTTGGGGTATGAATTTTCATCATCAGGTGAAAAAAAAAATCATTACTGTGAATTATTTTATCCCCCATCATGATTATAGAGTGAGGAAAAGTCTTTTGTTTTTTGTTTTTTGTTTGTTTGGTTTTCAAGGGGATACCTGGGTGGCTCCGTCAGTTAAGCGTCTGCCTTCGGCTCAGGTCATGATCCCAGGGTCCTGGGATCGAGCCCCGCATCGGGTTCCCTGCTCAGCGGGCAGTCTGCTTCTCCCTCTCCCTCTGCTACTCCCCCTGCTTCTGATCGCTCTCTCTCTCTCTCTGTCAAATAAAATAAAATCTTTAAAAAAAAAAATAAAAGCTGCCATACTTAAGATTCATCCCTTTCCTCTGAATTGTCCCTTGCTTTGTTTTTTCTTATTCCTCTTCAGTAACTTCTCCCTAGAATATTCTCTACTTATTCCCTGTAACCATTTCTAAACGCTTCCTTTTTACATCCTGTGTTTTTTACTCTTAAGATATTTTGAAATTGTTCAGTCTTAACCTATGCATTATGCTCCAAGGGCCGTACTCGGGTTTAAACACCATACTTGAGGGTGTGTTTCTCCTCTGTCCTCCCATCTATTCAGTAGAATGTAACGTGTAACATAAGAAGCCCGTTGTGAATGCTACTCTTTGCTACTTGGAAATCTACCATGGCAACAAAGTTCTAATACAAATTCCAAATTATGTGTGTTGGGGGAGGCAAGTAGCAGCAGGGATGGGGGTGTTCCCCCACCAGTAAGCAATTTTTGGACACCAGCTGGCGGCCCTACAGTTCAACTCAATTCTGACACTGCCCAGAGTTAGCGTCAGATCCCACGGGTTAAGGGCTCACAGGATGGCCCCTCACTGCAGATGCCAATTGCATGTTCAGGTTTTCACCTGTGCTTCTGACCAAATGGTTATAAATCAGGGGTTCCCATGACCCCTCCTTGGGTTCGATTAATTTACTGGAGTGGCTCACAGGATGCAGGAAATGCATTTACTCACTAGATGACAGTGCCAGCTTATTACAAAGGGTACTCGTCAACAGTCAGATGAAGAGATACATAGGATAAGGTATGTGGGAAGGGACTAGGAGCTTCCATGCATCTCCAGCGTGTCACTCTTCTGGCGTCAGAAAAGTGTTCACCAGGGGCGCCTGGGTGGCTCAGTTGGTTGAACAACTGCCTTCGGCTCCGGTCATGATCCTGGAGTCCCGGAATCAAGTTCTGCGTCGGGCCCCCTGCTCGGTGGGGAGTCTGCTTCTCCCTCTGACCCTCCTCCCTCTCATACTCTCTATCTCTCATTCTCTGTCTCTCAAATAAATAAATAAAATCTTTAAAAAAAAAAAAAAAAAGTGTTCACCAACCCAGAAGCTCCCTAAACCCCATCCTTTTGGTTTTTTTGGAGGCCTCATTTACATAGGCATAATTGATTGCATCATAGGCTATTGGGAAGTGAACTCAACCTCCAGCCTCTCACCCTTCCCTGGAGGTCTTGGGGATGGCACTGAAAGTTTCAACTCTCTAATCACATGTTTGTCTCCACTGGCAACCAGCCCCATCCTTAGGTACTTTCCTCAGGTCTCATTAACATAGCAAAAAATATTCATTATTCTCATCGCTTGAAATTGCAAGGGCTTTAGGAGCCCTGCGCCAGAAGAGGGCACAGAGACCAAATCTATAGTTCTTATTGTAAATCACAGTATCAGTGATTTACAGGTCTTCAATCTTTCCAAGATGATGGCAATGGCATTTTGTTCTGTATTTTTGCTTAATCTTATGTAGCGCTACGTGATTTTTGCTGGGAGTGTAGGAATCCAGTAAATTCAGTAAAACCATGACTGAATCCTTCAGAGAATGAATTGTTTTAGATAACCAAGTTATTTGCCAGCTGAGTTTAACTCTCCCACCACTCAAGCTTCTAGATTAAATTTTTAGTGGAAACCTCCCAAGATGTGAAGACCTGCTGTCTCGGTCAGTGCAGGCTGCTGTAACAGATTACCATAGACCGGATGGTTTAAATAACACAAGATTCGTCTTGTGACAGAATTCCTCTCCAGCTGTGCACCTGTGAAGCCAAACATGTGCTTACAAAGTCCGGTAGTGGGATAGGCACAGGACAGACACTCCCATTCCAAAAGGGAGAAATAGGAAAGAAGGGAGGGTGACAAGTCCCAAGCAAGTTCAAAACCAGGAAGGCAAACTGGATGAGACTTTAAGGGTCAAGAATAACCAATCCTGGGAGCGCCTGACTGGCTCAGTCGGTGGAGCATGTGACTTGATCTCGGTGTCGTGAGTTCCAGCTCTATGTGGGGGGTAGAGTTTACTTAAAAAAAAAAAAAGAATAATCAGTCCTCTTTGGCTCAGTGCTCTGCCTTCCAGACCTACTGGGGTAATAATAGTCTGTTTCCATAGCTCTGCCCACCTGGAGTTTGGCCTGCCCCCATGGCTCTGCAGGGTGTTGATCTTGCCTTTTGAAACTCAGGTGGAGATATTCTCCCCACTCTCCACCCCCGCCATGCACTCTAAGGCTTGTGGTGGAAATGACAGCTCAGATAATCTCCCAGTTGCCTTTGAGATCCTTCTTCCTGTGTCTTAAAGAACAGCAAATGTTCATAACCAAGTAGCTCTATGGTCCAGTCCTGTAGAGTCCAAGAGAAGTCTTCACTGTAGGAGTTAGGATTATCACATAATGAATCATGGCAGGTGACACAAACATTCGGTCTGTAACACCTGCAAACTTATGCAGATATGACAAACATAGTTTGGCCTTTCCATGATGATTGAGAGCTCTGGTAATGTACAGTTATTGGAGGAGGATGATTAGATGTCCATGGCATGGCTAGGTCATGGAATGAGAGGTTATTGACCCTACTATAGAATTTTCTAGGAAAAGTCCCTGATGTCAAACCACTTTTTTGGCTCTTTGCCAACTTTCTTTTCCCTCCCCCTTCTGAGACACAGAACCTCAGAGTTCAGCATTTTTGGTCAAGAGGAGAGCTTGGATGTTACACAGCCCATCCTTTCTTTCAAGGGCCCCACGTTGTAGGACAGCTAAGTGGCCACTTGCAGCATAAAGCATTCAATACACACGAACCACCCGAGTCTGTAGGTTGTCCCCTTGAGCTCTGGAACATGGCCTTTTCCTCCAAAGGTGGCATAAAACTACAGGCCAAAGCGAGGAGATGCTGAGCCTGGAAGGAGGGTGAGCAGGTGACAGATAAAGGGGTGGTGACGGGCACCCCTCCCTTTAGCCATCCTGCCCTGTGAGAGTCTGCTGCTAACTCCCATGTCATCAGGCAGTGGCATGACCATTATTGCTCTGTGCCCTTTATTCTTACTTCTTATCTAGTCTGTCCCTGTCCTCCTGCCTTTTTTTTTTTTTTTTCAAACATCCGTCAAGGCATGCTAGGTGCTTAGGGAACTGGTCAGTCCAGAGGTGTCAGGTCTGCTCTGCAAGCCTTCAGCTTTTCTTGGCTGCGTGTTAACTGTTGCTGAGTTCTCAGAGGTAACTTCTTGGCTCTGAAGATTTCTGTTCTGCCTTTGTTTTTTTTCTTTTTAAACTTGCTTTTTCTTTTTCCAGTGCCATTTTGAAAGTCTGAGATGTCTCAAAAATTAGTCACTCAATAGCCATGATTTTATGATTTTATAGGCATCCCTTCCGTGAGGCTTTAGCAGGAGCTGGGCTCGGGGCTTCATTAGCAGATGGTTTCCGGTAGGCACCCAGGGCCCTGAAGGTTGGGGGATGAAGTCTATCGGATATAACATTTTACGTGCTTTCTGCTGGTTTTTCTTCTGTTCCCTAATGAAGTCCTCCAATCTTCAAAGTCCACTTAACCCACTGAGTCTCTCATTGTGGGACTGCACTATTGCTTTCCTTCTGGGAAGATAAAAGCTAAGTTTGTTTTATGCTTTTCTTATTCAGGCTTGTGGACTTTGTGATGCATACAAAGTGGGGAGGACCCATAGGCCCATGGGGTTCATTCAGCCTGCTCAGTTTACAGCTGTGAAAGCTGAGATGCTCGGCCCTCATTCATCCCTGAGAGGTCACCCAGCCACTCCATGTCAGCCTGGTGGGAGGACCTCAGCTCCGGCATCTTCCTTTAGTCTGACTTGTTCTGGATATTTTTCTTATTAGGTCCATCGTGATGTGTTTTTATCTCTGTCTTTGTATATGTTTTCATCTCCTTTTTATTCTGTTCCTCTCTATCTGTCTGGCTTTTCTTTTTTCCCAGGAATATAATCTTAGGGTCTTAGTTGGTCTGTACCTCGTGGGTGGTTGTGTCCATCCTTCATTGCCCAGATGTCATCTGTGACCAGAGAGGCTAGCATATCACCCGGAGCCTACCTTCTCTCTCTCAATCTCTCTCGCTCTCCCCCTTATTTTTTTTTTAAGACTTTATTTATTTATATGTCAGAGAGAGTGAGATAGAGCACAAGCAGGGGGAGCGGCAGGCAGAGGGAGGAACAAACTCCCTGCTGAGCAGAGGGCCCGATGCGGGG